TCCAGCTTTGAAGTAAATCGTACGTCGAAGGAAGCGCTGGTCGGAGCCACTGCAGAAGGATCGAAGTACTAAGACATCGAGCAAGCTCCACTTTTGGTTAGTGAAATTGTGGTCGATCTCCGCACGGTTCGTTCCGTCGGGTGATTCCCATGTCCACCAGCGATGTTCTTTCTTCATGAAAATGGAATTTCCATGGAAAAGTCGTGCGGCGAAGAGAAGCCTAACAAGACGGTTGCCGTTTTCGTTCCAAAGCCCATATCTAAATTACCCGATCCTATATTCCTCTTTATGTTGCCTACAGCGAACTTCTAGAAGGACTTTTCTTTGCGAACGATCTCCTCCACGTCTTCGTAGAAAGCATCTAGTTCTGAGTCGTCAGCTGCTGATGTTGGAGAATAGCAGTTGATGATGCTGATGGTCTTCTGATGTGGAAGGTGTAATCGTAGGATGCCTAGTCGAGGTGATAGGATCTCATGCGAATCGACAAGATGGGCGATGGATGAATGGACGACAAAGCCAAGACTTTCAACGTTTCGTGATGGGACCATTCTCAACACGAATGACGAGAATTTTATCACTCATCTGTCGCACTTCCTTTTTCGTGAACTTCGTTACCCGCAAAGCGATGATTGTAATTGTTGTGTTCTGCAGCGTCAAAAGAGCGTGAAGGTCGGCGAGAGATTGACCTGACTGTTATTGTAGGTGCAGAGCATGAGGCAGTCTTCATGGCGTGTCCGGGAAGATGTGTCGTTTTTGTCCGATCCAAAAGGTGCTTTGAGGACCCTGACAGTTCTTGCTACCACCCGGCGCTGTAGGCGGGATCCGATGTACAGGGTTTTTTCTACATCTTCTTGCTGGCTGAACTCGAAATCAAAGACTTTTCAAATGAGATGTAGATGGAAACACTCGTTTTACCCATTTTGAAACCATGATCTCAATTCTACGCACTACTTAGCAAAGCTGATCCGGACTCATCTTTTCAATTTGTGCTCGTAAAATACGTGCTTCAGGCTAAAAATTTATTTCTTCGATCTTGTTAGGACTGCCTCCTTGCTACTTGTCAAGACAACAATCATTACATTTGAGGCCAATTTGACGTGTTTTTCAAAAGTAATTCCGGCGGGGTATAAGAGCTTGTAAGGAACGCGTTCGGATCCGTAGTAATGCAAATCAATCTAAGTCCTATTGCTTACCACATTCTAAAGGGTGGGCGACCTTAGGGAACGGCCATAGGTTGGCGGGAACGGTTGTCGGTGTTGTCGGGGTTGCCGGTGTTGTCAGTGTTGTCAGGGTTGCCGAGGGTGCTGGGTTGTAGGGCCTCTGGTAGCCTCCACGTTTCGCGCTCTTTCTAAACTTCTCTGACTCCGACAACCCCGACAACGCCGACAACTCCGACAATCTATGGCCGTTTCCTCAACCATAACTATCAGTCTGCTTCGCACACGACTGCAGCCGAGCAAAGAAAAACATCGCAACGCTGCTTTTCCCACTGTAGACATACCTCATAAGCAACCATAAGAAACTAATCGTACGTTATGTTACGATCATTTCGGGTCACCGGAACACAATCTCTCAACAACCATTTATTACGGGAGCGGAGAACCACACGCACACGAACTCTAAATTAAGGTCTGTGATCACTAGTACTAGATAAACTTAGCCGAAAAAGATAAGAGTTTCTTTACGAGAGCAACATGAGGAGTACAGCAAAAGAGAACAATACCATGCTGTAAATATCATTAGGGCTCCAGATGAGCAACCCTTTACAGAACGAGGATAGAAGAGTGTTGCAGAAGTAGTCAAGATAATGGCTACATAGCATAACCTACAACAACTGTTTACTAGGCTCTTATAGCGCTCCATAAGCAGGGCGCTACATTCTTCTGCTCCTTCTTCTTCTAGATGCTAGGTTATAAACTATCATCGATCGTATAGCGTCATCGTCCTGCTAAAACTTCTGAAGGCAGCTTCTCCTCTTTTCCGCCTTAGATATGGCTGCAGCTTCTAGAAAGCACTCGGTTTTCGCTCGCTTTCGCTTGCATGATCACGGTTTCTGAGTACGATCAAAAGCGTTCCTTGCGTATTCAAAAATCTCTTTACAAGCTTTTGAAATAACTTGAAAGCGTTCATGGGTTTTTGTAAGAGCAAAACAGTTTCCAATGCTTATTGAAACAATTTGTTAGCTTTTAACAATAATTGAAAAATTTTGCTTTTACATTGTTTATTCCAAGCGAATTTAACCGGCAGAGAATGTAAATGATGAGTAACCGGCTGCGAGTGTTTCGCCTTTTAGTTAATAGAACAAGAGATTTTTCTGTTTTGGGGAAACCTAATCCTATCAAACAAAGAATGTTATTTTTATAAGTTAAAAGTCATTCATGAAACTGTTAAAAAAGGATTAAACTCACATTCATGAGTAAGCTAAACAAACTTTTGATAAATCCCGTTAACATATAAATGGATTGTCAACATTTTGGCTCGTGGCGAAAGGTTGTTGACTCTTCATCCTGTAAATTTTTCACCAAGTTTGGTACAAGGAAAAAGCAGTATTTTTCTTGAAAAATGAGCCAAAATTGCATTTAACTGGAGTTTTCGATTTTGTTAAACTATAGATTGGTGAAACAGCCTTTGTGCGATTGTTCCGACGCCATCTTTTCGAGCTTGTGTTGCTTTATCGAATAATGTGTTTGTCACAAATTTTTTCATTGTCGTCCCGCAGTAGCATAAGAATCATGGATTGATTTAGCATTAGCTCATTACACTCCATATTCTTTGCTTTGAGTGAGTATCTCCCCTGTACGAGTAATCCTCGCCTATTATTTTAGCAAACCCCTACTGTCATAACCAGCTCCAAAGCATGGTTCTAACATTCTGACAAAAATTTTCAAATTTACACCGCCTTACCAAAGCTTTCCTGTTTATGTGCCGCAAAATTCAGTACTATAGCTCTTGCTAACGTTTGCTGCTCATTATCACATTGCTTAAGCATGTCAAAATTCGACTTGATGTAATGTAATGCGCTATTATAACGCGTCAAGATCTCACCACCCTCAAGTTGGTTACAAGGTGCTGACAACATTATATTAGTAATTTGCGCTAAATCTGCATTGGTTCTCTGCGTGCTTCACTGTCTTCCAGTCACTTCAAATTCGCACAAAACATTCAAGAAAATGCACTGTTTATTTATACCTAGACAGCTTTTTTCCGAAACACGAAGACGCCTACGACAAGCTGATGTATTTAAAGCATGTGAATTCAAGGCTTCCATAACTAAGGGCTGCCTTCAAAGCTGTATTTGTGCCAGTCTCGTGCCCAACGCAGCACGCCGCCAAGAAAGCACATGTTGCTTACTTTAACATCCGCATTCCCTTTCACCTAGGCACACTGCAGGCGCTGCCAAACTTGTTTTTTTCAGTCAAAATCAGTCAAGTCTTCTTGGTTAGGACTTAATTGACCTACTCAAATGAGCTCTTTAACAAGTTGCTCTCCCTGAAACGCTGACCTATATTTAGGCTTACCATCTTTTGCAATTATGTAAAAGGAGTTACAAGCGTTTGGAAGGGCAGGTTTGACGAGTCCTATAACGGATGATTTATAACCTTACAATTGATTTTAACGTAATTTAATTTATCCTCGTAACGCATCTTTCACATAAAAAATCGTTGTAGAAACACCTAAATTTCTTGTAGGAAAGGAGAGGAGGTTTTCGCAATGGGCAAACTTATCGCTGCATGTAGTCATTGCAAGTAATCATTGCAAGTACGCGGCCTCAGAATGCTTCTTGAGGAGGTTTATTCAATGGGAATGAAAACGAACATATCTGAATACTCAGAGGATAAAAGGTGATCGTTTGGTCCCCGCAGATCACTGTAATAGGCCTGCACGCATTAGCAGCCTTGGACTATCTAGTAGAGTGCGTTCGGCACATGCCCGCAAAGGGTGTTGGAAATGCCGAATCCTTTGCATTCTTTGTCTTTTATTCAACTCTCCTGTCTCCTTTCAAGCAGTAGTTCAAAGAGTAAAGTGTGTTCTAGATAAATTGCCAGTGCGAAATGCGATAATATAGCTTGTCTGATTGGTTGGCCAAATTGGGACTTCCATGTTAGAGACATGCTGCAGTAGTCATGGCTTCGACACAAATTTTGACCAAGATTACAAAGTAAACTCAGAATGAAATAAGTTTTACTATTTTTAGCATTTTGTACGATCAGAATTAGAGAGATTGAAATGCAAAATTTTGGTTGAAGCTTCTGAGTATTTCCCTTCAAAGGCTTATGTCATTGAAATTCACGATAGTTTCTGCATTGAGCACCGCTATGAGGCTAAGAGTTTACTCTAACTAAATAAGTGCTGAATAAAATAATTTATTGGAAAAGCAAAAGTTCTTAGATTTCAAATTTGGCAAAACTCAAGAAATCTAACAAATATATTTCTGTTTTTCTGCAACGAAGTAATAAAAATTTTTGATCTGTCCATTCATGTTGTATTACCCAAAATGATTGCGGAAAAACGTACAGCTAGAATGATAACGAAATGTGACAGAATTTGAAATTTGCTCACATTGAACAAAAGTTTGCTTTGCTGTCAATGCAGCTCATCTCCTCTATAATTGATGTGATGAAATACTTTCGTGATAGTCAACGTTGATTTCAGGTGTGCATCAAGCTTAAAAGACCTTTTTTGTTTACTTCAAAAAGAAAGTTGCGAAGCTATGAAATAAAGCTGAACCTGGTGTGTAAGATCATAGAGGCAATTTACAAAAAAAGTTCCGGATAATTAGCCGATAGCAAGAGTTCAATGTCGCATTCATCGATAAACTAAGCGTTCTTAACGAGCTTTGTACTTAGAGATAATTTATATACTACTCACGATAGGACTATGAAAGTCCTTATTCACATTTTATTCATGTTCTACTTTACGATTGAAAAGAAAAATAAAGCGTACGGTAGGTTGAGCTTAAAGCATACCAAAAAAACCCTCACATTTAAATGCGTACCTAGATGCTCAAAACTGTGGTTTACAAGAGATAGAAAAACGTGCGCAGAGGATGATGAGAGCTCATGAAATAAGGTAACAACTTACTCGCACTAATACCCAGTTTAGATTATCTCATTACTTTGAATAACGTTGACTCTCACACAGAACAAGTGCTTAAGTTCACAGATGCTCACAAATATCAAAATTGCAGAATCCTTTTCACGACGCGGGATCCATCAGATGATGCAACTGATGATTCTTCAGAATTTGATGGTTACGGTGATGAAGATGACGACGATTTCATGCAACAAAAGGTAAGAGGCAATGACTGACTGTAATTGTGAGGCTTTTGGTTTTGCAGTAATTGCAGTGGATTGTTTTGCAGTAAGCACATACATTTACTAGCGATATGCGGCATAGCCAACCATCGCCAGCTCCCCATACATAATATTCCAACTAGAAATTCTCAAATATGCTTCATTATGTCTAACATATCTCGCTGCGAAAAGTTTTGAAAGTCTGAAGTAAATTAATCACAAATATTCGAAAGGTATGAGTTTCATATGGTAACATAATGTAGACTCCTGCTGAGACGTCAAGCTGCATTTCCTTGCGAAAAAAACGAACAGTTGGAGAGGTTTTACCGGTGTCGGTAATAACAGACAACTCATCGATTGTCTGATGACTCCTTTGAAGTTTTTGCTGACTGATTGATTGCTCGCTCCTAAAAGATGTCCTCCTTCATTTTAATTCCTCCCCAAATCGTGCAAAATGATGATAGCCAAGTATCATGCTGTGAATTAGTTTCTCTCCTTACTGTAAAAAATACTTTAAAAAGTGCAAACCGTCGTTTTTGAATTGTGTTTTGGATAATTCTCATAATTTTCATTTCAAAGTTTTGATTAAGCTCTGACCACATAAGAACGAAACGAAGTGAAAATGTTTTTCAGGTCTTGCAAAACTGATCTTTCAGAGATCTTCAAAATGATTTTTCCGAAAGTTCTTAATAGGAAAATACGCAAAACAAAAATGATCAGACTTTACAAAATCTTTGGAATCCGTTGGCTTCAAAGCAATTTCTATCAAACCTTGGCTTTTCAGAAAGAAGAAGAAAGTAATCAAGTGTTTATCTCTACAAAATGTCACCATTTAGGATTTTTTTACACTCAAAAAAAACGTAGAGTCTGAACGGCAAAAACTCTTTGGGTATTTGGTTGGCAATTTTAGCTATTTAAAAGAGGATGGATAACTGTGTCAAGTCAGGGCTCGGCAGGAGGTAGCTAGTTGAAAATGGAAAAAACGAAGTCTCCCTTGACTTTTGGGAATTTTTACGAAGTCCCCTTTGACCCTGAACCAAATTTCTTCTAAAAACCTGAAAAATTCCCGAAAATCCCCCAAAAAACGAAACGTCGATTAAAAAAAAGGTCGCCGTCGCCAATTTTCCGTGTCTCTTTGGTCACAAAAACGAAACCCCCTTTGCTTTTCGCCCCAAAAAACGATACCAGTTGGCTTACAAGCCACCTGTGCCGAGCCGTGTGTCAAGTGCAGTTTGGAGATTGATTACCTAGACTCTTCCTGCTTTGAGGATAGGTCTAATAAGAGAAGGATACCAATATGATCTGTCAAGCCAAAAAAAAATGTATGTCAGTAGACGATTCTTTGAATCGCTCTTTCCAAGTCCGCTTCTATCTCTGCAGAACGACTCTCCGAAAGAAGTCATAAGTGTTTGAATATTCAAGTTTGTGAAGTAGTGGCACAAAATCAGCGAAAATCTGCGCAAGGATTTCTGAAAGTCGGAAATCAATCTTGTTCAAGTATTTGACTGGGAGAAATACAGCCAATGGAAATCTGCATATACCATACTTGGACTTTCAAACGCGTAACTTTATACAGCGCATGGGTAAGTTCGTGTGTTGATTATGCACCGAACATTTTTTGAAAAAAAAATTCAATCGCCTTAGTCCATATAATCAATATTAAAACCAATCTTCAGAATTTTGCTGAATTTGACATTTTTTTGCTGCGTAGAACCGCGGTTGGTAAGAGGCATGTTTGAGTAAGCAATGTTGACATCAATTCTTACAGTCATTGAAAAGTGTTAACTTTGTGTACAAAATCGGCTTGCATGCAAAATCTTTCAAAAATGTGTTGAACGTATAATTACTGGTAGCGTTTTCGTCTGACTAACTTTGCAGATCAGTTCTTCAGACAGCAGTTTTTCGCTCCTAATTACTGTGTGATTAAAGTTAGAATATCCAGCACAAGACGTCATTGTGAACTGGCTGTTTCGGAAAAATTCTAGTACGCTAAAGCTTTTGTAATGGTTAACGCACTAACGATTCTAATGAATAATTTGGATATTTGTGCAGTATTTGAGACGATGAAATCAGGTTTCCTGTAATTGTTGGGAAAGCCGCTGTGACAATATGAATGTCGTGACATTCGAACAATTACGGTGTAGCAAAAAGCACGTACATGAACCTAGCAACTATTAGCCAGATGACAAAGTTTCCATCTTTTTTTCGGACACTTTTCAATGCATTGTACGTTTTTACTGCGCAATAGTCCTCCAAAAAATTTTTTTATTTTACAGTGGTGAAAAAAGCTTTTTGAGCGAGTATCAAACGTTCGATACAGTACATCCAAAGCCTATATTAGAAATTTAGCGGCAAAATGGGATGCAAGACTCATTTCAAGAGCTTTGACAAGTTTATTCAAACTTATACCCAGGGCTCGGCACGAGGTGGCTAGATGAAAATGGAAAAAACGAAGTCCCCCTTGACTTTTGGGAACTTTTACGAAGTCCCCCTGAACCAAATTTCTTCTAAAAACCTGAAAAATTCCCGAAAATCCCCCAAAAAACGAAACGTCGACTAAAAAAAAAGGTCGCCGTCGTCAATTTTCCGTATGTCTTCGCTCACAAAAACGAAACCCCCTTTGCTTTTCGTCCCAAAAACGATATCCAGCTTGCTTGTAAGCCACCTGTGCCTAGCCCTGCTTATACCTATTTAAATAGAACATAATTTGCAAGCATGAGAATCTCATTATTAGAAGAATAGACGCTTGCTTTGTTCGCAGCAACAACCATCATATATGAGCGAAGCCGAGATTCTAATACGATAATGTAGTGCTAAGCGATACCTCAGAAACCAGTGGAAGAGTTATTCCTTGAGGCATTATCTACTGCTTCTTAATTCATAATTTTCAGATAATGGGAGGTGAACGAGTTGAAAAAGGTGAAATTCCATGGGCAGTACTGCTTATTTTTCCTGGAAGTAAGTTTCTTCAATCTAAAAGAACATGTTTAACGGGATTTTCTTTTTACTGCTGTTAATCAGTATTTTTCCATGGGCGTGCTGTAGGTATTTGTGATAGGGCAAAGTCATCATTCCATAGGCGGGCAGCACAATTCCTTTCCAAGATTTTATTAGGTGTCCCATTGGTCTTTCCCAGTGGCCTACCCAGGAATTCCCTTCGGGGGGGGGGGGAGGCAAAAAAATTTTCGGATGAAGGTGCGCGGCGTTAGCCACGCATTCCGAAAACTTTTTTAGTGCTTCCCAGATTTTCGTGCGAGTCTCTGACCTCGAGATTTCAGAGATAGGGGGCGCGGCAGTAGGCACGCCTCCAAAAAAAATCCATTTCTAAAACTAATTCGAGTTTTTCAAGAGTTTGAAAAATTATTTCAATTATTCACAAGTAAAAGTAAGTCGCTTACACATTCTTATAACACATTTAAGTAACTTCCAAAAATTTCGCGACTCATTCTCGGGGGAGGGAGTAGGAGGGGGGGGGGGGAGGCTCTAGCTTTGATCATTCAAAGGAACGCGTGCTCTACAAGATAGTTTTCAAAATTTTGCACCAAGCTCGATCAGTATCAAGTTTCAAACCAAAAGAAAAAATGTCGAGTTCCCGGAAAACGAAAATAATCTATCTCAGTTTGAAACAACACTACGAATTTCCCACTCACTCACGCATATACTATCCCTATCAGATATTATATAAACACTTGTTGCGTTTTTCTGAGAGCTAGAAATTAGGAAAATATGTATAATGCGCTGATTTTTCAAACTTTGCCTGTAGCAGCTCTGTGTTCCTCGCAAATATGTGATTGTATAGATTATTCACTCAGAAAAAATACTGCCACAAATTTGCAACCTTGTAGGTGCCGTACTCCTCAAGAATACCAAATTGAAGGTTCGAATATGAAAATGCTTATGGGACAACCTAACAGTTTGTCGGAAGCTCATAGGGCACTTTTTTTTAAATATTTCTTCAAAAGATATCGATTTGTAAGCACACCGTAGTTCTTTCTCAAATCAATGGCTTGTAAGCGGTCCATGGAACAGTTTCTTCTGATAATTAATCAACGGTTTACAGGCAACCCGTAGATTATGTTTTTTCTTGGAACATCCCTAAGCAGCCCATACGCCTCTGCTGGAAGATTGGTTTGTAGGAACCTGTATAGCATACTCCAAAATATTGTTTTTAGGGTGCAAAAAGCTTTTTTTTCTCAAACATCATTTTGTAGGCAGCCTATGGAAATTTTTTTCTTAAAATATTGCTGTTGGGGCTAGCGGGTAGTTTTTTCTGAAGAAATCGGCTGGTAAGCAGCCCTCACTGTTTTTTCTTATGAGGCTTTCCCAGGTGTAGCAAACTGTGGGTGGCTCATAGGGCAGTTTTTCTCTCGGATCACCATTGTGTGCCGTGAGGAGAGGGGGATCGTAATTAGAGTTTTGTGTATGTTGCTTTATGCGCGGTCTGTAGAGCGTTTTCTTCCATAAAAGGTGGTGGCACGTAGAGCATGAAAAAAACATGGCTTTTCCAAGTGCTAAACTGCATTTTGTGGAGTAAATTTCGTCTTTCGACTGCATTTTGGGTGGCACAAAATACTGTAGGGTAGCGCGGATCTTGTCGTAGTGTTTTAGGAAAAAATATATTATTCTCATGATGATATTTATAACGTGGACAAAATTCTTAAGCAAGGGCTGATAGAAAAAGTTTTTCTTGTAAAAAGCTTAAAGAAGGGGCAGTCTTTTATTTTTCGAATAAATCTTTGTAACGATGGGGTTTTGACGATGAGAGAAAGCAATACTCAAGAAGTACAATTTTTTCCCAAATTTCGTAAGGCTGTGATAGGACTTTTAAGCAATGTTAAGTGATTTGTTAAGCTTTTCACTTTTTGCGAAACTCCCTCATGATTGAATACAGACGTATTTGTAGTCATCATAACCAAACAGCTTATAGCGTGTGTGCCCCGACTCACTTGCTAGCGACCCATATGGTTGCTAGTAACTGGATAGCTTTGAGGCAAGAACTACTTTTAACACGTTTCGGACCGCGAAATCGCGCGCGGCGAAAAAAAGTGTGCTTTCAGCCGTTAGCCCACAAAGGGACCTTAATTCGTATACTGTGTGCTACATCTGTAATCAGCATGTCAGATAAGTTTATATTCAAAGTTCTGAGTGAATTCGAAGGGCTTGAATTTTGTCGCCTGAGAAGGACTTTTGTGCTTTCTAGAAAGATAAGAACAAGAACTGTTTCTAATTGTATCCAAAAGTATCTGTGTTGTACACAGCACACATCACTACTGAAACTAGGGGTTTTTTCTTTGAAATAGGAGCAAAGAAAAGTTGCGACGTCGCACGCGTCGTTCGCGTTGCCGCACTTCGTTGCAACTGTTGTTCGAATTGTCTTCATATCTTCTAAACAAGTATCGGCGGCACAGCCTTACAGAGTCATTTGAAAAGATGGAGCTTAGGCCTTCAACTCGATAATCTTGGAGAGAAATAAAACCTCCTGCAAACACTAAAAAGATCCTTGAAAGGCGCGTGCTGCACCATTTGCAGCACCGGTCCGAAACATCTTTGCATTTCTTCTCTCTAGACTACTGCAGTCGTAAACATACCTCAGTAAAACCTTAACTTCATCAAAAAGGTTTTTGTTTTTTACAGATGTGTCGTTATCTATGAGTTAAGTCACAATCAGACTTTGTCATCAATTCCAATGGCTTTTCAATTAGTCCGTTCACAACCTGACTCAGATTTATGCGGTGGAACATTGATTTCACGAAGACATATTCTGACAGCGGCTCACTGTTTTACTAAGGAAGGAAGGGGATTTGGCAACTGCAGGTAATAGTCGAGAATTTCTCTTTATCATAGCCAAGAATCTGAAGTTCAGTGTCTCAAACATGCTGCCCATGGACTCTGTCAAGAAAATTGGTGTCTTCGTTGGGGGAACTTGTATTCGAGCTGGCACATCCAACTGTACCAGCGGAGACACAGGAGAAAGGCACAAAATTGCACGGTAATCTCACTATGACTTTGATAAATTACTTATCAGTTGTTTCAAGAGCGTACTACAAGGGATATTTTGAACGCGGTTGCAAGGGTACCCATGATATAGCAGTTCTTGAGTTGTCTGAGGATGTGTCAGCCGCTATAAACCACATATGCCTTCCTTTTATGGATCAAGTCATGGAAATTGAAGACCCTTATTTGAAACTGAAATCATTTGGATGGGGTTTAGATCGTAAGTTTGCAAGCTTTTGTTAAATTGAATGCAATATCATTGTACATAGTTGTTACAGCTCTAAACTTTCCGCAAACACTGCTTCCTATGCACTTGCAAAAATTGGACTCAGGTGACTTCTTCTGCTTCAATATTTATACGTCGTCAGACTACCTATGAAGGTTCGATGATGAGTGAAAAAAAGTGCAGCAGATTGAAAATTTTCGAGGCAAAGGACACTTTTTGCACTAACCAAAGCAAGGACAAGCATATTTGCATTGTAAGTTGCTCTGCTTCTGTGTTTTCAACGCGTATGTTTTTCAAAACTTGCTGTTTGCTCACCGTTCTCCAGTTTTTATTACACTAAACTCTTCTACTTTTCAAGAATGCGCATGTACTGTTTGTCTGCGCATGTCATGTTGGGATAAGATTCTCGAAATATCAAGTAATTTCGTTAAGTAACATAATTTTTTTCCAGATTATCGGCAAGAATATTTCCCCTTACAAATTTTTTTATTCTGCCTTCAATTTTTTCCAATGTTAAAATCAGGAAACTCGTACATCAGTCAACAAAGGAAGTGTTTTCATAATCACAACAAGTTTCCGGTTTCATTATCTATATCCAGCTAAGATAAGTCTCTAAGTTAAAAAAAACCAATATCGTGAGTTCGTACCAAACCCAAACTTTTGTTGGAAGTAATGAGCGCAATGATCTCAAAAATATAAATAACCAAATCCGTCCCTATCGATGTGTTGATTTGATGGCAAAAGTATATAATAACGATTAATGGAGATTGGGTAAACTTAAAAGGGTGTTTCACCAAAAATGAGGCAGCGTAATTTTTACAGGCTGTAAGAACACACCCATATAGGCCACCGCCGGGCTTACCACATATGAAGACCAATTGATGTAAAATGCAAAATTTCGTCGTACGAGGCGGAGATTACAGCACGAAAACTATGGAAGCGGTTTGGATCCTTTAAAGACCAAGCATGAATAACAGAAGTGAAGGTTAATCGGTAGCGACCGAGCTTTTACTTCTTGGTCGATATGTGTACAACAGCCTGCCCATATATAAGGATCATTTTCCTGAGTCCAGCTCAGGGTTGTCCGTCCATCTTGTGCGGCTACTGACTAACTCACTAACACCGCGGTGCATCACAGATTGGTTCCTACATCCATTCATATAATCATTCATTCATTCATACGCTCAAAACATTCCAAATCAAAACGTCAAAGTGTTAGTCATACATGAAACACAACGATAACAAAAAATCACCACGTTATCCCAAGCCCAGTCCAAACCACTATACAGGGTGTCTCAAAAAATGTGCCTAGTGTTTGATTGTTAATACCTCTCTTATAATGAAGTCCTGCGAGAAGCTTGAGGTATCGTTTTGTAGACCTGGCTTCAACTTGGACTTATAGATAATGCGAATCGCCCGATCACTTCTTATTACTGTAGGATTACGGTAGAAATTGCAAGCATATATTGTTACTGTGAAAAAAGCTGCCGTTTCAAAAATAAAAAATGTGAAAAATTTGTAATAGGGATTTGTATGGATGCTGAGTTCAATATTCAACTATGTATAAAGATGCGAAGCTTTCTAAATGGTGTGATTGCACTTTTTGGGAACAAGTATAAACGGCTGGTACTGCTTACCTCGAATAATTTTTTAATAAAACATTATGATAAGTTGCAAGCTTTACACTTAGAATAGCGACTCATGCGAGCCCAGTGTGAAAGTTTTAAGTTGTTTTGTTTGCTTTTTGAGGCAAAATATGGCCTTTCATGTCTCAAAACCCCCTTCAAAGTTCCTACCGATCTACGGTAATGAAGAGAGAATGGTGATTTGTTCCATACCGTAAATCTATGTTGAAGCTAGCTCTACAAAACGGTATCCAAAGCTTTTCTGAAAACCCTATCAGAAGAGAGTTATTAACAATCGAATAGTGGGCACATTTTTTTGGGAACACTTTGTATAAAGAAATAATAGAGCAATAATCAAAAAGCTTTCAGAACGTGTTGGGGTTGCACGTAATTTTGCGCTTGCATGGATTCTGTGGAGAATTGACCCATGCCTCGCGTTTGGCAGCGAGAAACGATTTTTATATATTTATAGAAACAAACCGGAAGTTTGGCTGGCGGGTATACTGGTAAGCCCCGCTTAACACGACCTGCTGACGAGGGTCCTGAGCTTCCAGGATAATTAGAAAGTTTGCAAATTAACAGCGTCACTTAGAGTTAGCAAGCTGTATGAACTAGACATAGTTGTCTGCTAGGCTGGGCCCGAAACTACAAGATCAAGTTAGCCAAGTCTAGCAGATCTTAGAAAAAAGCAAAAGTAGAATTTGTTGAACACATGCGCTAATTAAGAGTCAGAAGTGCACACGGCTGGCAAGAAAGAACATGAACGAGCATGAAGTGACTGGAAAGCGAGTTCTACCTGCAAAAAGAAAATAATCCATCCTTTTCTTGATTTCATGTCTGAATGATGTAATATTTTCGCAGGCTAAAGGTTCTTTAGGTAGTTTTTTTTTCTCGATGCAAAAACAAAAAACCCATTTTCGAACAAGGTTGAAAACTTTTGCCCACCGCTCCATTGGCAAATAAATAGAAAATCTTCTAGTCCTTCCATAACAATCACAACACTAGTCCTTGGCTTGAACACCCAGTACTTAGGAGGAGTTCTGCTTAGTTTCGCCTCTGTAAAACCTATATGAAAGTACAAGATCATGAACAACTCTTCAATATGCGAGGTTATCAAGACCAAGTGTTTTAAGCGATCTCATAATGTGGGAGCAAACGTGGATATGCTGGGTTAGGAAAACATCGGTAGAAAAAAAGTTTGTTAAAACCCTTTGAGCCCTCCAGGCCTCATCATGTAGGAGGAAACGTGGATATGCTGAGTTAGGAAAACAACGGTAAAATAGAAGTTTGTTGAAACTCTATGAACGTTCTCAAGGCTATCTTTGTGCTTTCTAAGAAAGGGTCTCCAAATAGAACATGCATATTCTGGGACAGAAATTACGAATGCTTTTTGAAGTTTCAAGAAGATCATGGAGTTATTGCATTTAATATTATGGAAAATAGGGTACAAAATTGAATATGCACGTGAGTAACGGAAAATTGTAAATTGTGCCTGAATGCTATCAAATAGAGTTCTCAATTTTTTCACGGAATTTACTTTCTAAATTCACTTCAGCATGTTCATAATGCGCTTCGCTTTGAGTTCCAGCGTAAAACACAACGCTTTTGTTCACATAAGGACATGACATAAAAAGGATTAAGAATTTGAGAAGCAAAGCCAAGCATGAAAGTGACGCACAGCTCATACCAACCAACGCACAGCAGTTATTATTGCCCTTTCCCTCGCTCCTTTGATGAAGAACTAGATCCGATGCTTTTTGTCGACATTAATTTCGCGTACTCTCAAGTGAGACTTTGAGTGTTTAACAAAGGTTCAAGCACGTGCATTAAAACACCTTGAGGCGAAAACAGTGGCAAAGAATTCTTGAAAAACCGCTCTATTCGTGCTTCTATTGAGTTGGTGCAAAAGTTTTGTCAGTCTCTTCAATCCATCTGCAAACACGCTAGAATGAAGATAAACAAACACTTCAAAATGTATCCGATGCAGAATTTCTTCTTCTTTCCAACTGCAAAACTCCCTTTGTGTTTTATTGCAACAGTGACGAAATATTTGCTGGAAATTGCAACCACTCGTTTTTACCATGCCCAAATTTCACTAATTTTCAAAATTTTCGGATGAGACTTTCGGAGGGGTTCTAATAACCTCCAAATAGTGCAAACCTTTTGCCAACTAGTGCAATTTTTTGTAACCCTACGGCTTATCTTTCAAATTTCTGCAATTTATTTTTTGAAGTGACCAAATTTTACACTCAGCCTATTTTAACCTCGCGGAACATAAAATTTTAGACGCTTCAGTCATCATTCGATACAACTTCTTCTCCTCTTTCTAACTTTTTTCTATTTTCGCCGAGACAGGCGAAATTTGTGGAAAAACTGCAATATTTCTCAACTCCAGGAGTGCGCACTGACGTAACCTATGTTTCAAAATATTCATAATTTGAAGCGAAAATCGCTCGTTTACTTTGCAATGGTCGCGGTAGTAATAAACAAGTGTTGAAGCCTCAGTATTCTGGAGGTTTTGCAGTGTTTGGTGCAATAACAGGTTAGGCGATTTTTAGAAAACACAACACTTTTAGAAAATCGTTTGACAAAAATCTAAAAGAAGCAACTAAAAAAAAGGAAACTGCATAAGATGGCAAAAGGTTTGCCCTATCTGGTGGTTATTAGAACCCCTCCGAAAGTCTCATCCAAAAATTTTGAGAATAAGTGGAAGTTCGACACAGTAAAAACGAATGGTTGCAATTTCCAGCAAATATCTTATTAGTCCCGCAACGAAACACAATATGAGTTTAGCTGCTGGAAAAAATTCTGCGTCGGATACATTTTGAAGTGTTTGTTTATCTTCATTCTAGCGTGTTTGCCGATGGATTGAAACTGACAAAATTTTTGCCAACCTAATATTAGCGGCGAAGTAACTTCTATACTTTGAGAAATTCGAAATTCATCGAATGAATGAATATTGCATAAATTCGAGAACGAAAAAATTCGAATAGACAACATTGAATGAGTTTGAAAGTAAAAAATTTCGAATAAATAAATATCGAATACATTCGAGATGCAAAAATTTTTGAATGAATGAAATCCGAATTAAATCAGAAAATCAAAATTATCGATTGAATGAATGTCATTATATTCGAACATTGGGAGTCGAATTTCGAATAAATATTTGAATGATTTATCGAATAATTAGAGCAATCTTATCTTATATATAAAGCTGAACGTCTGTTATGTCTGTATGTCTATGTGTCTATCAGTGATTTCGGGAAGAGGGCAAAAATTTTTTTCAAATGAAGTTGCATGGCGTTAGCGCTCACTCCGAAAAAATTTTGGGGTGACTCATAAAATTTTTGCCGGTCCATATCCCTTGGAATCTTAAAAAGGGAGCGTGGAGTCAGCCACGCCCAAAAAAATTTTTTACAAAGCTAATTTGAATTTTCAAGAAATTTTAAAAATTATTTGAATTATTTTTAAGAATAAACAAGTCACCTGCACATTTTTATGGTCCATGTAAGTAACTTTCAAAAATTTCGCGACCCATTCTCGGGGAGGGGGGGGGGCGCCCCATTCTCCTCGGTCCGCCGCTGGTGTCTATGTGTCTGTGCGCATGTTCCGAATGGAAAAAAAATAT